CTCCAAGCCTAGCATAACCCCAGTAGTATCTATAAATGAAAGGACAGGATTACAGGGGAATTAGAAAACTTGCTGAGATGATTGATAATGCTGTTTATGGTCTGCACTGTGCATAAAAAAAGTCAAACTGTTTCACTAATGAAAACATAGACAACCTCTTCACATAGTCATTGAACAGAAAAATCAAAGGCTCAAAGAGGAGTGTCCCTTTTTATTTACAGCAATAATTTGATGTTGCCCATTACTCATCCATCCATCTTTACCTGCTTCTTCCTTTTTTGATTGTGGGGGTCACTGGTACCCATATCCAGCAGTCACTGTGCAAGAGGCAGGGGACACCCTGGACAGGCCCCTGGCCGGGATTTGATCCAATGATCTTCTCACCAAAAGGCAACGGCTCTACCAACTGAGCCACTGTGCCACCCCCATTTCTCTGACTTTCAAAACAAATATTAAAAGATTCATGTCGTTGCCATTATTGTGCCTGAACCTTCTAAAATGGTAATGGTAAACATAACCCCACTATCCTGGTTGTGAATAGGATTATTGTTGTGTCAACAAGCCCCCGTAGATAATAGTAATTACTGCCCTAGCTGCAGTGCCATCAGACTGAGGCAACTTCGCAAGCTGACAGCTTGGTCCTAATTACCGAGAACCACCAATTACAAGCTCCATTTCTTTATTTATATTTCACAGCCCACCAAAATAAAAGAGACTTCAATGACTCGGAGTAGTCACATCTCTAGCAGCAGCAGAGCAGCATCCAGAGACCTGCTGAATCAATCTCAGGTTCCTTTTCTTATTACTAAAGAAAATTCCAAGCAAAAAACAGCATTGTTGATATCGAGAAGACCAAGTCAAAAAAAGTGGAAAATTAAGCCAACGGGGGGCTGCCTTGACTTTGTTTTAGTCAGCAATGGGAAGTAATTCAGCTGCAAAGGAAGTGTATTATTATCTTCCTTTTATTCAAGTTTTAGTCATTGAAATATGTGCAAAATTAATCAACTAATTTGCTGCCATTTAAAATGATGCCTTACAGAAATTAGATGAATAAAAGAAAAACTACTGGCGGAGCATATTCATATTCAACCAACCACACACACAATGATACTCTCCAGATGTTGCCTATCACCCCCTCCTGCCAAACAGAGTCCAGTGATGGCTGACAAGAGGGACGCGCAGGGGGGTAGGCTCGGAGCAGGGAGGTGAAAATTCTGCTATTCTTGCTCCAGTGACTTCTACAAAACTTGGCAGATCATTGTGGAGATTTGTATGTCTGTGGATTTGACATAAAACTGAGTGACTCGTCTGGAATGTGTCTTTCAATAAGCCTCCGCTGGTTGTTTGTCTTATGTTCATATAATTCCCAAAGGCCACAATTCTCAGGCTTACAAAAGGTGCAGATGGGGCGATTAACTCCGGCTATTATGTATCTTATACAATCCATTGAAAGATAACCATTACTACACCTGCTGATTCACAAAAAGCTGAGTAAAAGCCAATCTGCAAAACAACAAATGGAACAAAAAGCATCTGCATCATCTATACAGACCACTGCAATTGCACACCTTGTTGATAAACAAAGACTTATTCTCTATTTATGATTCAGTGCAAATTCAATGATCTGCAGAATGAGCTTGAAAGAGAAATTCATGCTCAGTGGGTTGTAAAGCGATCACATTCCAAAAAGATAAGGAATCTCAACAATTAAAAATAAAGGCACTGTAGAAAAGGAATTTGCCATAGTGAACCAAGGCTCTTAGCATTTAGAGGACAGCTGCACAGGGCAGGCCTTGTTTGCAGGGCCTGGAGTGGAGCAGTATATGTGGCCTGGAGGCCGGATCCGTTCCAACTGTGCCCTGGCAAAAAAATGCTCAGCCCAGTCAGCCTCGACAGCTTGGATATTCATGGGGGGTGATGGAAAACTGGAACATGGCAGTACCACACTGGAGACTGAGGGAGTTTGCAGGAGGAGGGCTGGGGGTGATGAGTCAAGAACAAGATGGTTTATATTATTTTTGTACCACAAGGACATGACATTTGCAGAGTTTGATGAGCGAGACCAAACATGGGCAGGTGAAAAGGCTCCTATGTCTCCTCTGGCTGGGAGCAATCAAGTTTATTATCTGGCAGGTATATGTCAGGAGGGAGCAGCAGCCTTTTACACAACTTTTACACATTACTAAAGTGTCTCTATACCAAATAAGTAAAAACATGCATTGGTGGGAATATATTTTTGAAGCCTGGAATATTAGCTTATATGATTATTGCAGAGAATAATTGAGAGAACTGTGCTCATGTCCCTCATGTGGGATGGGGGCAACACCGACGATAGAAAAAAACAAAAAAAAAGCTTTTTACAAACTATGACTGTACAAGAACACAATCATAATGCAAGACATTGTTAAAACCAAACTGATTGGATTACAATTACCATTATTTCAACTATTTTATCTCATATGACATAATTTTTCCCTTTCTCTGTGGAAGAAAACTGTTAAATTCTGAGTCAATTTGAATAGCAAATTTAATGTTTGAGACTTGTTTTACATGAACCAAATTTAAAACCACAGCACTGTTCAAAACTAGCATTAGTATTTTTTTTTTCCTCAATTGTTTCAGCTGCTCCTTCTTCATTGGTCGCCACAGTGAACTAGCTCACATGAAGACTTGGCAATTGTTTTTACGCCGGATGTCCTTCCTGACACAACCACAGACCACTGAGCTACCACAGCTCTCTGTGTGGAGCAGAGCTGCCATGTGGGGAGCCCGAGGGGGTTAAGGGCCTTGCTCAAGGGCCCAGAGTGGGGCAAATGAGGGTGGATGCAGGTGTGAGTGTTTCACCTTTTCCACCCACATTCTGATGTTGTCGGCCCGGGGAGTTGACCCAGCAACCTTCCAATCACAGGCCAGCTTCTCTAACCTCTGTGCTACCACTCCCCCGAACTCTCCTGCTCTGTATGTGACACATAAAAAATGTTTAATGTCTATACAGTATAAGAAAAAAAAAAAATAATAATAAAAAATTAAAAAATAAAAATATATATATATATTGCACAATCTTATTTTTGTATAATATGATATGTCAAATGGTAATAATTTTTATTAAAACTAAATATTTGCGTTAAAATTTATTAAAATTAAACATGTATGGACTAGTTTGTAGCACTGATAAACAAAGTATCTAAAAGTTACAGCACAAAAACAGGTCAGTGTTGCACAAGGGAAAAGAACACTATGGGCCCCACCCACTGCACTGAAGGAAAAATAAATAAATAAGACAGCAAAATGAGATTCGGGAGACTAGTTTACTCTAGTACATCTTGATTCATTCATCCCCATGTACCTCTTTGCTCTGGGTTTGTGCCAAGGCAAAGCCCCATGGGAGGAATGATTGACACTTCCTAATCCTCATGGATACCAAAACGCATGTCATTACCATGACATTTACACCCTCTTCTGGGACGTGAGATGAAGAATGTAAACAACAAACGGGATAAACAACAGTGCAAACCAAAGATAGAAAATGTGAATGTTTAATGGGCTGTATTTTGGGTCACGGGTTTAGTTTAAATGCCTTTTTCTGACTGACTGTTGATTTAACAGAACTTTGGATAGAGAAATGTCTGCTCAGTCAACTGGGGTAGCCTACATTTCAAATTAGCCACATTTTGATTATCTTTCGCACCAGAGGGACGGCTGGTGGGCATGCAGGCTGCAGGAAACATGTTGGAGAGTGGAGAACAACAGCTATCACCAAAGTAAGCAGCTGACAATAAAGAAGAGCAAAATAAGAACTTGTCTGTCAGGATACGCACTCCACAGATGAGTATGCTAAAAAACAGCCACTCTTGAATGTTTGTGGCATCTTTGGAACTTAAATAACACGGCAGAAACAGTTTGTGGAAAAGTGATAAGAAGAAGACAAACCTTAATATATCATATTCAGTTATGTTATTACTCACCTTCATTCATCTTTTTGACTGAGTAAAGGCAACTTTAGTTTTAACACCCTTTTTCATTAAATCATTACAGCAACAGCTATACACCTTCATTTAATGAGCATTAGAACAGATTTATTCACTTGTTTATCTTAATAATCAAACATTAAACTTAACAGTGACTAAATAAAGTTGTGCCAGAACTTGCAGAACTTGGCCAAACTTCTAGTCCAGGACCTGACTTATAATTGGACCGTTGTTTCTTCACACAGAGTGCGGACCATTTTACAAGGCAGCACTGTTCCTCTTGTATGGGTACAGCAACAAAAATACATGTTTTTAATCAATGTGCTGTGACACTGAGGTTGAGCAGTGCCATTGAATCTCCCTGGTGGGATGAGCAACTATCTGCTGGATAACAGATCTATTTTCTCAATGAATCTTCTCTTTAATGTGCGCTCTCTTTTTCCAGAGCTGCTGCCCAACTTCTGCTGTTGTCCAAAAACAACAACCCATAGGTGTAAGAACTGCCTTGTTAGGTAGAAATGAGGCAACTCAACTAATATAAACACCTCTTGTAGTTTTGGCTTCATGCTCTGCAGTTCACACGGAGCAGTTAGATGCACTTTGGTCTAGCCTGAAGCTGATAGGACATGTCTACTGGCACTGATAGAACCTATCTACTGACACTGATAGGACCTGTCTACTGGCACTGGGGGAATAGCCTAAATTTTGGCTAGAAATAGCCTAAATCCAACCGTGGCATGTGAGTAAAAAAGTGTACAAAAAATGTGAAAGTCAAAGAAACTGAGAAATTGCTGGGACCAAGTGTGGCAATAAACCAGTCTAAAAATAGAAAGAGATAGAAGATGGAAAAAAAAATACTACACACAAAAATATTTGAGAACATTCCCAAAGAATGTATAATTGACATGACTGGTAATAAAAAGAGTGAAAGGACTTTTTATTGCAAAAAATAACAGGCACAAGAACAGGAAGAAAGCTTGGCAAAGAAATGAGAGGATGAGTAAAAATAAAATGACCTTGGGTTCTACTCACTAGGGAAAGGCAGACAGGGGTGCAGCAAGCGTCTTGGCTGTCGGAGCGGAACAGAGAAGGGTGCAGCAGTGCCTGCACAGTGGGTGCTTACTGGACACTTCAATCACAGGTAGCCAAAGCCCTGGGCGAACTTGGCCAATTAGCTGCACACTGCTGTTGACCCCCAGCTTCATTAAGGGCTTGGGACTCTGGAGAAGGGGAGAGAGAGGAGAAGATTAGATGGAGAGAGAAGACCGTTGGTACTGGTCAGGCTTGAGAAGACGCAGACACACATTTTCACAGTCACATATGCTAGAGGTGGTGCTCAAGGTTAGACATAAACACAATCAAGTGAGAGAACACACAATACCCCACATGTATGTACTGGCCAAACCACACTTCAATATCCCTGTGGATTTACACCTGCAGCAAAAGGTGGTGGTGCTGAGTGCTGGAACTACAGAGGCCAGAGGGCAAAGCAGTTGGGTCGACCCAACATGGCTGCAATGACAGCAACAGGTGTGGTGGCCAGCAGACATACAATTACCAGACTGAATGTTCTTTTTGTGACAGAAGCAATAACAGATCAGAGGGAAGATTGGAGCTAGAGGGGGCAACACATGGAGCAAAGAGGGAGGGGAATGTGAAATGAGAAAACGTGAGAGATAAGCCCCTTATCCACAGGTCTGGTTCTTGTTGTAGCCTGTTGTGTCCGGTTCTAGTGGGACCTCTATTTTTGTGTCTCACCTTTGCCTATAGTTCCCGTTTAGTGGGCGGATTGTTCACCTCTAGTGGGCGGATTGTTCACCTCTAGTGGGCGGATTATTAATATCAATGCACCTTACCAGCTGGTGGCGGTAGTGCTACATTAAGCTCTTTTCTAAGCACCACTAACATGCATTAGAAGAAGAGCTGGAAAACAACACACAACCAAAATGGATGACCTACATGAACTTGAAGCAGAACCAGCCGCACAGCCCATCCTGGTCGCTGTCCCGCAAGATGGAGAGCAGGGCCGAGGTGTCAGAGATGCTCTGATGGATCATGAGCTGTAACTTATCCTAATTCCACCCCTTAATCTTTTTTTACCTCCCCAGCCTTCCTTAGATACAAGTGAACGTTAAAGTGTTGATTTGAAAATAAACATGGATTAATAATTATTCTTGTTTTTTTAATGTACAGACATGCCTTATTACCAGGTTCGTGTAAAAATGGCAAAACAAACACTGCTGCTGTGCTTCTATCACATATGCTGCGTTTTTTAGTGGCTGTAGTTTTAGAAAAACTGTAATCTCTTTAATTTTTGTTTTTAACAAAGAACCAAAACCTACAACAAGAACTTTATATTTGTTTATGCATATATACATTAATCTATTTTAATATATATATATATATATATATATATATATATATAT